TGTCCCTTCCCCATGGATCAGGGAATGCAGTTCTCTGCTGAGCACTCCCAGTTCTGAGCAATTTGCCAGAGACAAAGGCTGAATCAGAGCTTTTCCCCAGACGCTTGCAGCTCTCCTGGAAGAATTGGTTATTTTAGAGCAGGACACCAGGCTGTAACACACGTTATTGTGACCCAGTTTCCTGGGGTGCAAGTGGAATTGCTGTTAGTCCTGGATAAATAGCTGTGGTTTAGGACTGCCAGCCATGAAATGCCGTGTTCATGGAGGCCAAAGCATGCCCAGAGAATTTCCCATGTGCCAGCAGCTCTGAGCAGTGCAGTGCTGCCTCTTGATTTGCTGCTTACATCTACTAACCATTGCTGTAAAGAAAGTAAAACCATGGAGCCATTTGAGACAGCTCCTGCCATCTCAGACTGTAGTTTTGTCCTGCTGATTTTGGGACTGCCTCACATYCACCTGGGGAGCACAAATCCRGCTCTGCAGCCAGGCAGSAGGTTTGGGTTTGTCYCCTCCCTTCAGGCCACTGTCCAAGGACAGCAGMAGCAGTCATTTCCTGCCAGTGCTGCCCTCAGGAGCCGATGGCACTTTGTCCCATCTTTTGGCCAGGAGCTCTCAATCTGTGTGCCAGTGGGCAGCTTTAGCACTGCTCCATCCCTGGCACCAGCAGCTCCAGCAGCCTGTCCCTGTGCCACCCCTCTGATGATTTGAGCCTCAGGAGCTGCCCGTGCTCTTGTCCAGCAGCCAGAACACACAATTAGGGCACCCAGTGGGACTCCATTAATGCTCAGACATTGGAGGTTGTTTGTTTTCCATAAACATAAGCAAATAAAGTCCTATTGGGTTTCTAATTTTATGCCCTGCAAGGGAAATTCCCGAGCAGGGTTGGTTTTGTTTGCTTTGTAACCTAATAACCCTTGTAAAAGTGCTGCTGTGCTTGCCCAAATATGAATTAAGGAACTATATTTGCATAGATGGAGACAGTGGCTGTCGCTTTGTTTTGTGGTTTGAAGCTTGTTAATGAGAATATAAACATATATATATTTATAAATATATATATATAAATTGTCTCCTGTTAATTCCTGGATTTGCTTGTGGCTGCAGCAGGAATGAATTGCACACTCGTGCAGTGCCAAGCACACCCCACAGCTCAGTGACCATGGGGCATGGATGGGGAGCTGTACCCCTTTTCCTACACAACCAATCCCAGATTTTAATCCTGACTCCMTTCCCAGAGGCACAGGCACAGCTTAGCTGGTGTCAGTAGCACAGCCAAGGGGAGCTGTAGGTGAGGAGCCAGCTCCCTCATTCCCATCTATTTATATTCATTTAAAAGTCATTGTACCCTGTTGCTCAGGAAACTACTTTATTACACTTTTTTTTTAAAAAAGGAGAAATAGAAATCTAGGTGAAAAGCAAATCCACTGCAAAAAGAGAGAACACTGAAGTCCATATTGTTTTGTTTTAGGCGAGAAATCCTTCAGCACGTCGACGTCATCAAAAACTTCTCTCTGATCAAGAGCAGCGTTCGGATCGGGCAGCTGATGCATTACGATTATTCCAGCCACAAGTACGTGTTCTCCATCAGCAATAACTTCAGATCTCTGCTTCCCGACGTGTCTCCCATCCTGAACAAGCACTACAACATCTGCGCCGTGGTGGGCAACAGCGGGATCCTGACCGGGAGCCAGTGCGGCCAGGAGATCGATAAATCCGATTTTGTCTTTCGCTGCAATTTTGCACCAACCGAGGCTTTCCAGAAAGACGTCGGAAGGAAAACCAACCTGACCACCTTCAACCCCAGCATTCTGGAGAAGTACTACAACAACCTCTTGACCATTCAGGATCGCAACAACTTCTTYTTAAGTTTGAAAAAGCTCGACGGGGCCATTCTTTGGATCCCCGCTTTTTTCTTCCACACGTCGGCGACGGTCACGAGAACGCTGGTCGACTTCTTTGTGGAGCACAGGGGGCAGCTGAAGGTTCAGTTGGCTTGGCCAGGAAATATCATGCAGCACGTGAACAGGTGGGTGGGCTTGCCTTGCATTTGACTGATTTTTTCCCCTCATGTCTGATGTATTAGGAACAGTCTGGCATGTTTGTTTTCAGAGCTGCTCTGCGGTTGTTCCAGAACATCCTGTGGCTATTTCTGCACACACACTGACTGTACCACACCTCTTTGTCCCCACAGGTACTGGAGGAACAAGCACTTGTCCCCGAAGAGGYTGAGCACAGGAATCCTCATGTACACCCTGGCTTCTGCCATATGTGATGAAATCCATCTYTACGGCTTCTGGCCCTTCGGCTTCGACCCCAACACGCGCGAGGACCTCCCGTACCACTACTACGACAAGAAGGGAACCAAGTTCACCACCAARTGGCAGGAGTCCCACCAGCTGCCTGCAGAGTTCCAGCTGCTCTACAGGATGCACGGTGAAGGACTGGCCAAACTCACCTTGTCGCATTGTGCCTAAGAACATAGATCTCCAAGTGCCAAACGATTGTCKAAAAAAAGTGCCCAAAACCAAATTAAACATTCTTGGAATTCTAAAAAGGAAACCAACCCACCCTAAAATCTCTTCCATAACTTAAAGATGCTTTTTAGCCACTGCCCATCCAAGGGTTTCAGCGTATTTAGCGGTGCAGAAGCTTTTATCACGTTCTGTGGATGCGATTTGTGCAGCTGCAAAGTTGAAACATTTTGCATTTCTAGATAAGCCACTCAGTATGTTTTAATATCTCTTCATATTTTACCGTTCCGCTAAATGCCCTAAATCTCTTCATTTTCTCGTTCCTTCCCATTAGAGCTAGAAATGCTACTTTGAAAAGGTTTTTGCTTCTTTTGTATCTGTTGCTGTCAATAGCTCAGCGTGGAGGAAGCCACTCGGAATTCCAGTGCATCGTCACGCGCAAGCTCCTCGRTGTGGGTCCCGATTTCCACCGCTTGGGTATTTTCCTATTTACTGAATTTTTTAAAGAACAACAAGAAGAARGTCACCAAGTGGCTCGTACCTTAGCTAGGTGTTTGTATCACTCTTGGAATAYTTTGGTGTTTTAATTCCTTTGGGGACAGGTCCTAGTCCAGGCTAGGCAGGCTGAAGCATGTTCATTCCCATCCATCTGATGYTATTCCATCGTTTGATTTCAGAGTTAAACCACCACAAACAATGGAATTWGGCTTCTCTGGAGACATGGCAGGTGGGAAGAGCCCCAAAGCTCATCCCTCTGCTCGGGCATTTTCTGGTCACCAACAGCACTCCAAGGCAGACAGGGAGGTGTTTCCTTGGCACCAGGGGAAATGTGGCTGTTTGGGGACAGGACAAACCATAGGGTCCCTTAGAGCTCAGAAATGGTGGCCATTCTGCCTCAGGATAAAGGAGCCTGGGAAAGATCCGGGTTTCTTACGAGTGTGCTGACAAGTATTTAACCATTTTCTGCTATTCTGTATGAGAACTGACCCCATGCTCAAAGAAGATCCAATATTTCAAATGCCACATGTCCATTTTTCTCAGCTTCTTTACCTACAAGTAGACATAGGAGGTGAGGAAGGAGATTTTGAGTACAACACCCACCCTGAGCAGCCTGGGACATGTCCTGGTGCCCATTGTGCCCCCTCCAAACCTCAAGTGACACTTGTTGGCTCGTTTTAATGCCAGGTATTTTTATCAAGAGGCATTTTATCAATTTCCTGTAGGGACCGATAGTTTACCATTAGTAAATTAAAGAAYTATTATCATTATATTGGCATGAAAACAGGGGGCAAAGTGCTCTGTACAGTTTCTGGAAGCTTCCATGGTCCTGGAGAGGGACAGAAYCCCCTGCCAGTCCTAGGGACAGCCCTGGTATCACCACCAGAACTTCCAGAGGCACAAAGAGGCACCAAGTGCAGAGAAGGAAGCAGAAAACTGCAAATATTTGGGAATGGGAATACAGAAAAATTATTGACAGAGCGCCATATTACATCATTGATTTTTAAGCAAAACTCCCCATCGATGCTCCAGCCCCACATTGAACATTTCAGAATCATTGATTTTAATGGGGAGTTCTGCCCCGCAATCGATGGCACAGCACAGCCCAAAGTAAATTGCTTCTTCGTATCAATATTTTTTTGCCCAAGCTCATGCAATGTGGAAAACCATCTGTGAATGTGCAGCTTTTGTTTTGCCTGCTGGGGTCTGAGGGAGAGGCGAGGATGGCAGGGGATGGAGAAGGCAGTGCTGAGGAGGAGAGGCTCCCTGGAGCTGCCTCCATTCGGCAGAAATGCCTTTGCTTTTAGAAGCCAGACTTTTAATAATTTATTTGTTATTTGGAAGGTGCTGGGGGCTGCCCTCCGTGCTCAGGACAGCCCCTGCGTGCGGCATCACCTCCCCTCTSCTTGGCCCCAAACCTTCCTGATGGCTCAGGGAGAATCTCCCTCCCGTGACTGAATGTCTAGACAAGCCAACAGAGCTAATGCAGCCAGATCAATAGCTGTAAGTACAGAACATTTCAGGTTCCAAAATTGCAGAGGAGCCCTCCTGAGCAGCTGCCTGGGTCAGGAGATGCCAGCAGGATGGGTGCCGAGGTGCTGGAGGTGTACATAGCATTGGGAATAGTGCTTCCTTTCTTCTTTTACACATCTTGCTCTGTATTTTTRTTGCTTGCATCTCCTTGGTGAATGGTAGCGAGGCACGTGAAAACAGGCATTTGGCTACTGGGTTTAACTGTGGAGTAAACCAAAAAACRAGAGTTTGTGAAACAGAACTGTGAACAGAGCAAATAGGAAAAAGCAGGTTTTCTGTGAATGAATGTGTCTACAGTTCAATGCCTGATGGAGTTGTTTTCGATAAAAAAAGATAAACATTTTTTTAAAAAGAGAGAAAAAAACCGCCATAATTGTAATAAAGGTTTCATTATTAAGGGCCATACGAAAAGGATTTTTCATTTGTCAATGGCTGATGTTATAAAGGGCCAGGGCACGTCTCGGGTGAGCGGCAAAGCTGCACAYGGTGGGAAGAAGCAGAGCTGCTGCCCACGGAGAGCCTCAGGAGTGGCTCTGAGGGCTGGCACTGAGCTGGGCACATCGAGAGTGGCTCTGAGAGCTGGCATTGAGCTGGGCATGTCCCCAACCTGGGCCTGAGTGTGACTGCCCAGCACAGCACAGCACAGCACAATGTGCCCTGGCACCCCTGGTGACCGTGCCACCCCAGCAGCTCTCGGTGTGATCCTGCGCTGTCATGTGCCTGCAGCATTGACTCATGTGCCATAACCCGATCCTGAATGCATTGTTTTTAAATAAAATGGTTTCTTGTGCATTGGGAGTCTGTAAAACTCTGCTGCCTCTTCTTCTTCCGTGTTATTATTTCCTGAACTGCTCGGGGCCACTGATAGATTTTACTGGAAAACTTCACCAGAGGAGTTGCCAAAGGTGTTGCTTAATGCTTSCTATATTTCATTATGCAGTGCAGCAAGCTTGGTGTGACGGATCAAATTCTGCACTCCGGTGGAATGCGTGGAGATAAAAAGCATGGCAGTCTGGGCACTGGCATTTGCTCATTTAGATGAACTGCATTGCCAGGAACATCTTGCAACCCAACTGAGGTGAGTTGYACTGCATAGTGTCCTCAGTAGTCCCAAGCAGGAATTCTGCCATGTGTTTTTAGGGGTTCACATGAACTCTCAGGCTGGCACGGGCAGGAGCAGAACCATGTGCCACCTGAATGCTTCCCACCACTAATACCCAACCCTTGAGACCATCCTGGCACAGAGACAGGGATTTATTGTCCCATAACCCAGTTTGTGTAGGGATGGGATGGGAAAAATCCTTTTCTTCCTCTCCCAGTGGTAAATGTGGCTCTGCTCTAGAGGAGCTCTCTGGGAGAACTCCCTGTGCCTGTTCTGTGGTGTCACCCTGGAGTCACCCTTTCSTGCATGGTTTGGGTCAGCTGCCCGGTGTGGGTGCTGCAGGACACTACAGAGGCAAACCCCTAGAGAACAAAAGAGGAGAGGAATTCAATTCCATATTCCTAGGGGAGCCACAGCCCAAACCAGAAGGATGCTGGCAAGAAAGCTCAGCCAGGCCGGGTCCATCCCACCCCACTGCCTCCTCTTTGCAGGGAACGAGGGCACCTGGCCGTGCACAGGGAGCCCCGGCTGCAGGCAGGAGGAGGAGGAGGAAGGCTAACAAAGAAATTCCCTCCTCCCTCCCCCAGGAGCACAGGGAAAGCCTCTGGCAAGGCAGCCATGCGGGCAGGGAACGCTGTCCTGCTGAGCAGCCAAAACTCACTGGGCTGGAAGCGGCAGCTCCTGTGCCCRGCTGCCAGCGTGGGTGACAAGGGACACCCGGTACCCTCCTGCCTCCGAGGGAAAACACAGCCCAAACAGGATGGACCCTCCGTGTCGGGTACAACTGTGTGGATATTTACACCTTGGCAGGGAAGGTTTTGGCATTGGTTTGCAAAGGCACCAGAATTAGGCATTACGGTGTGTAACTAAACATCCTCAGGGAYGCAGCCAGCAGGGGCAGTTTTGGAAAGAAAAATTCAAAGTTGGGTCTGATGAATTTATTGGAGAAAAAGTAAGGCAAGAAAGGAAAAAAAGTGGGAAAGAGAGGAAAAGGGAGGACACAGATGCCAGCACATCTGCAGCACCAGATTCCCATCTGGGTTTGCCACACTCCCCCTCATGCCTGCCCACAGTGGCACCTCCGCCTCTGGAGCGCTGCACTCGCCTCTCTTTTCCCCAAATCAACTGCAACTTTTGCCTTCCTTTAGGAAGGACAAAAAGATTTCACGCATAACTTGCCCTGAACAAAGGCACCTCACGCCAGGGCTTTCTTTTCTGCCTTCCTTTCTTTTTCCTTCTTCAGCACAAGCTGACAGCAGCAGGAGTAGCTGGGGTGGGGGCAGCTCTACTTTAWACCCGCCTGATTAGTGCCAAAAGCAGCTCAGAAAACACTGAGACACACTGTGATGGCAGCGGGGAGAGAAATGGATCGTTATCTTTGGGATCCAGTCTGCAGGGAAACTGGGCACTGTCATACACAATTTGTTTGCAAGGGGGTTCAGGGGCTCTGGAGAGTGCCCTGCTAATGGAGGGTCCAAAAGGTGACATTTCCCCCCATTTAGTTACTGGGGAGATCCAGTGGAGATGGGACATGCACAAATACAGAGATGGCTATCAGGGCCGAGATAAGGATGACACAAATTGCCCGCGGGTGGCACAGGAACGCGGAACTCCCGGGACTGTGCCGTCCACCCCCGGGTGATTCGTTAATGAGCCCTAATTCAGCCGCACCTAAAGTAACTAAAAACCAACAACCAAGAGCACAGATCAGCGCTGTGTTTTGGTGGGCAGTAGCGAAGGGAGCGCGATTCCCGCTCGCTGCAGCTCCTCACGTTACAAAGGCAGCGGCTCCTGAGGGGGCCCTGCTGTGCCCTCAGGGAAACCCCGCCCCTCGGGGCTCCGCGCG